AAGGAATTGAAGAGCCGCTTGGCCAGCTCCGAAGGCTTCCAGAAGCCCAGTGCCAGCCTGTCTCAGCTTGAGACCCAGAACCAGCTGCTGCAGGAGCGACTGCAGGCCGAGGAGAGGTGACCCAAGCCCATCCTTCCTCCCCCTTCCCTGTCTTCCCACCTCCTGGGCAGTGCTCTTCTGGGGCTTCCTCCATTGCTCACCTCAAAGCTGGCCAGCCCAGCCTGAAGTCCTGAGTTGTGTCTAATCCTTGCCCCTTATCTTTGGATCTGTCCTGGATCCTTCCAGCCTAAAGCCGGATCAGCCTTCAGATCTATGGTTTTTTTTTTTAAATGGTTTACTTATTTTACTTGAAAAAATTACAGAAAGAGAGAGGAGGTGACAGAGATCTTCCTTCTGCTGGTTCACTTCCCAAACAGCTGTGGTAGCCAAGGTTGGGCCAGGCCAGAGCCAGGAGACAGGAGCTTCCTCTGGGTCACCCACGTGGATGACAGGGCCCAAGCACTTGGGTCATCATCTGTTGCTTTCCCAGACCTATCATCAGGGAATTAGAATGGAAATGGAGTAGCTGGCTTGAACTATCACCTGCCTGGGATGCTGGCATTGAAGGTGGTGACTTCACATACTGTGCCACAGTGCCACCCCCTATCACCTGCCTCACTTTCTTAGGGAGAAATCAGTTCTGCAGTCCACAAACCGGAAGCTGGAACGGAAAGTTAAAGAACTGTCCATCCAGATTGATGATGAGCGGCAGCATGTCAATGACCAGAAAGATCAGGTAAGAACACGAGACTGCCAGACTGGGCACCTGTGTACACATGATACATTCACCAAAAAGCCAAGGGAACCCCCACGTCTGCCCAACTCAGACCTTCCTTGGATAAGGATGGCGGGTTAGATGAACAGACTAAGAGCAGTGGTAAGCATTATGTTTTGAGTGTTTGCGATATCTACAGTTCTCTTGCCGAGTGTTATATGATATTACCTGATACATTAATTAAAAGATTTCATTTATTTTCATTTTGTTTGAAAGGCAAACAGAGAGAGCAAGATCTCTCATTTGCTAGTTCATTTCCAGATACCTATAACAGCCAATGCTGGGCCAGGTTGACACCAGAAGGCCAGAACTCCATCTGGGTCTCCCATGTGGGTGGCTCGGTCCTAGGGTCCTATGTACTTGAGCTATTATCTGCTGCCTCTCAGGCCGCCCTGTAGCAGGAAGCTGGATTGGAAGTGGAGCAGCCAGAGCCCAAACTAGGCACTCTGAGATGGAATGCCAGAAGCTGCTGCTGAGCTAAGCACCCAGCCCTCTTCATTCCTTTAAACCCCCAAGGAGAGCCCCATGTAGCAAGTCTTTGGGACAGTTCTTCCAGGGACAGTTATCCCAGGCTCTGGTAGCTGACATTTGCTAACGTGGGGACTTGGGATCTTGCCCAGCTGAGCCTGAGGGTGAAGGCTCTGAAGCGGCAGGTGGATGAAGCAGAAGAGGAAATCGAGCGCCTGGATGGCCTGAGGAAGAAGGCGCAGCGGGAGCTGGAGGAGCAGCACGAGGTCAATGAACAGCTGCAGGCGCGCATCAAGTCCCTGGAGAAGGACTCCTGGTAAGGGCCACCCTCCTGCTCCCCGGGAGCTGGGTAGGAGAGCAGGTGGACAGCGGCCCCTCCCTAGCTGCACGAGCGAAGGTGCCTTAAGCTGGGACTGTGCAAGCACAAAACTGCCTGTGAGTCAGTCTGGTTCATTCTGTCTCAGTTTTCATCCCATACCCTGTCTTGCCAAATCTCAGATTAGTTGGGCAGAAGGTGGACGGGGGTGCTTTGTGAATAACTCCAGGCCTTAGCAGACCAGAACTTGCTTAACATGGGAAAGGTGGCTCTCTCAGTGGCTCCCATCCCCCTCTCTCACCAATCTTCTCCTTCTGACTCAGGCGCAAAGCTTCCCGCTCAGCTGCTGAGTCAACCCTCAAACACGAGGCACTGAGCTCAGATGAAGAATTTGACGGCGTCTACGATCCCTCATCCATCGCATCCCTGCTTACAGAGAGCAACCTGCAGACCAGCTCCTGCTAACGTGTGGTCCTCGAGGGTCCAGAGAAACTAGGCTTGCGCCCTGTCCTGGGTCAACCCTCCTCTGCCCCTGCCCATCTCAGCTGGTGGGTGACCTGGTCACTCAGTTGTACCATCAGGATGGGTCTGAGAGTGATGGTGATTAAAAAATAATAATACAACATCAGTAATAAGCTGATGCCTGGACTTCCCTTTCCCAGTGGAGGGTTGAGAGCTCCAGGTTGCTCGAACCCTTCCCTTAAGTGCCAGTCGCTGCCTCGCTCCCCTCCTAGCAGAAGGATGGTGAACAGGTAGCCAAGGCAGGAGTGGGAGTGCTGCACCGAGCAGGAGAGGGAGAGTGGAAATTGCCACATGCGTGTACATAGCTTTATTTCTCTAGCCCTTGACCTAAGGCTCAGGGAAATGTCCTGTGATATCCTCCCTGAATTCCAACATCCCATTTTTTCTCCTCCTCTGGAGCAGGGTTAGGGGAGCGTGGTGGGTATTGGACACGCAGGCGTGGCATTACCCGCTTCTCAGATGCTCCTCTTTGCACAATTTGGGGCGCCTATGTGGTGGTCCCCACCTTTTCCAATATGTATAATTTTGTCCCCATCCAGCAGGTCCAAGGGACCGTTTGTCCCTTCTGTCTCCCATCCTCACCTTTCCTGCGCTGCTTTCCTCTCGGTGCCTTAGCCAGGGTGAGGAGACAAGGATGCTCTTGCCTGTTCTGTCTTGCACATTCATACCTCTCTGAAGACCAGCCTTTCCCCAGCTGGGCCCCTCAGCTTTCCCGGTCACCCCCGTGACTCATTAAGAGTCACCTGCTTTCCCACCTGAGGACCCCTGGGAGGGAGACTTCAGGGAGTACCATGGGAAAGTGCTGGGGGCTGGGTTCTGCCAGGGTTTCCATCCTTCTTCCTCTGTGACTACTCAAGTACTTGCACCCGGGGGCCCTGACGATGGTATTTACCAGTTCCAGCACAGCGATCTCAGACCCCATCCATGGTCTTCTTGTGGCTTTTGCAGCAAACCCAGGGACCCTCATGTTCTCAGGACCTTTGCCCTGGTTCAGGGTTTGTCCTGGGCCTAGAAGGCAACTCTTGGTAGCAAAGGGTAGAAGCAATGGAAGACTTAATTCCTCTCTTGCAAGTTGGGGAGAGCCAAGCCCTGCTGGGGAGAGGGGGATGATTCACCTCCTTTATCTCCTAAGCAGGTTCCGTGGGGAGCCTGCAGAAGGCTGTTCTTGCCAATGACTTGTAATTTCATGATTTCTTCTGCAAATCAGACATTCCCTTGCCATGCAACCCAGCCTTGATTTTATTTTAAAATAAATATTAAAATTATATATCTGTATTGAAATTCTCAGACTCTTGTTCTTTCTCCTAGCCTATTTGGAAGTCCACATTTGATGACTAAGTAGTTCTACTGTACAGCTTAGAGACTGATCTGCAGTTTTCGTGGCCCTACTTTAGAGAGACCCTTGGTGACAGGTGGGATGGGGCCTCAGACATCAGGCAAGTTAATAGTTTCCCCCAGTCTCTCTTGAACAACCTGGGAATAGCAAGGCCAGAAAATAACTTCTTTGAGAGGGACAACAGGTGAGAATAGGGTTTGATTCAAAGATATAGCCAGCATTCACCTAATTTTTTAAGATTTTTTTATTTTTATTGCAAAGTCAGATTTATAAAGAGGAGGAAAGACAGAGGGGAATATCTTCCATCCGATAATTTACTCCCCAAGTGGCTGCAATGGCCAGAGCTGAGCTGATCCAAAGCCAGGAACCCAGAGCCCCTTCCTGGTCTCCCACATGGGTGCAGGGTTCCAAGGCTTTGGGCCATCCTCGACTGCTTTCCCAGGTCACAAGCAGGGAGCTGGATGGAAAGTGGGTCTGCCAGGATTAGAACTGGCGACCATATGGGATGCCGGCATGTACGAGGCAAGGACTTTAGCCATTAGGCTACCGCACCAGGCCCCAGAATTTACCTCTTAGTTTCAATAATCCCCATCCATTCCCAATCGGAATAGACTTGTTCCTGACCATGTGTGTTGGGGGACTTCCTGTCATCCTGCCCTTGTGTGGTCTGGCAGTGAGAGCTGGCCCCTCACTGGAGCCTATTTGCACACTTGGGAGCACTGTTCCTATCACAGGGTGGGTCAAGCTGCCTTCTGACAACTGCCTTCTGTCCATGTGGCTCACCCGGACCTCTGCGGAAAGCGGCAGGGCTAGGAGGAGGCTCCAGGGTTCTGCATGGCTAACCTCTTCTCTGCCCCAAAGTCCCAGCCACAGCTTGAGGAGCCAATACCATTGGCGAATCGGGTTCATCCTTTCTGACGACCACAAATTCCTTTCAAGGCAATGTGACCCGCCTCTCCCTACCATATAAGGGCAGCTTTGGTTATAATAGCTTAGGCAGAACAAGCCCCACCCAGAACCTGGCTGGCTGTGACTTTGGCCTGGGCGGCTTGCCAGGGAAGGGCACCTGCCAGACTGGCTTAGGCCAGTCTGAATGAGCTGGCCCTCGGTGCCTGCCTTTGCAAGGCGTTGGAAAAGTTGTCTAGGCTTAGGTACAGGGAGAGGAGAATGTAGGGAAACTTACACAGATATAGTCTCTGACCCCTGTAGAGGCAGGCAGGGCGATTCGTCTGACCTTCTGATCTTGGGAATTGAAAGAAAGCGAGATTAATGAAGGGTGGTGAGATACAACTACGCGTCCTACGCAAAACTGTCCAGGGAAGCTGCTCGGGTCACTCCAAGCCACACCTTTACGGAAATCCGAGCCAGAGTCCACGGGGGCGGGAACCGAAGTCTCGGTTCCGCCCAGCTCGCGCTCTCCCTCGTCGTAATTGGCGAGCAGCGCCATGGGGGTGTGGCCTACCTGCAACCCGCCCCCCGACGCGCCTATAAAAGGGGCCGCTCGCCGCGCGCCCGCCTAGTAGGAGCGGACACTCGTGGCCGGCGGTGCGTGCTGTGTGCTGCTGGGGGACGCCCTCCGCCGGAGGAGGATGAACGGGACGCGGAACTGGTGTACCCTGGTGGACTTGCAGCCGGAGGGCCAGCCCACGGTGAGAAGGCGCTCCCCCGCCCCTGCCCGCTCGTTGTTCTTGGTCTCTAATCCCGCCCCTCCCTCCCATGCCCCGCGCCGAGGTCGCTGACATCACCGGGCGCGCGGTCAGCCCTGCGCGGCGCTCGCTCGCTCGCTCTCTTTTTCACTCCCCTTTTTTCCCTGTCGCCCCCGCTGTGGGAGGCCGAGGGGGTACCGGGGAGTCGCGGGATGAACTGTCGAGGCTCGAGGTGTCCCTGCCCTTTGAGGAGGACACTGCAGCTGCCGCCCGGGTCTGAACACTGGGAGCCGCGCGGGTGTGCGTTCCTCAGGCGTCCTAAACCGGGTCCTAGGAGAAGGAGCTCCAGGCAGGGTGTCCCACCGGGCAGATCATCGGACTTGTCCATCGGTCCTGGTGGCCTCAGAAACGTTTTTAGGAATTTTCTGCTGCTTTGGGTGATGAGTAACAAGAAAAGGGGTCGCGGGCAAAACCCGAAGGCATGGGAACCGAGAGCCCAAGTCGAAGCGCGACTGGTCTTGGCGCCGAGACGGGCCAGGAACCCTTCGCTTTCGTTTGGAGGGCTAGAGCTGTCCACCTGGGGTGTATGCTTGGTGTTGGAGGAAGGTCACTTCTCGCAGATTCCTGCTGCTCCGTTCCTTTTCCTGCCGCTGTTCTGACCCATCCCCCTATCAGCCAACCCAGGGCTTCTGGGACGGCTGGTTTGTTGGTTTTGCTTTGGTGTCCAGCTGACAAACCCCGGGCACGTAGGTAGATGAAGGGGGTTAGAATCGCGACTGAGAAAGGAACGGAAGTGACCCACGCAAAGGATGAGAGTTGTGGAGAGGTGGGGTAAGAGTAAGGTAGTTTGCCCGTTCCCCTTGTGCCCTGGCTCTCATCCTTCCCGTGCCCCTATTTTCCTCCCCGCCCCAGCTCACCATATGTAACTCTATTTCTGGGCTCAACTGGGGTAATTTAGCAGTGGTGTGTACATCTCATCATTTTCCTAGCTTCTGTGGGTGAAGGTGAACTGGGAGCCAAGGTGATGGGGAGTCAGTGCCTCCCCCTCCGTCGGATTGCCTGGCCCTCTGCCCAGCTCAGCATGCCCCGGGTGGAGCTAAGCCAGCTACCGCTGATTTAAGGACTCTTCTTCAAAGAGTATTTGTGGTACAGGTGCTCATTTTAAGTTTAAGATACAGAGGACCATTTAGCAGTGTTCACCTTCCCACCTTCACTTCTGCCCCCATTGCATCACCAGTCTTGTGCTGCCAAATCCTGCTCTTTCATAGCCTGACACTACTCCAGCTGTAGGATCCTGAAGAAAGAAAAAAAAAAATCCCCTTTGTCCTTTGTCCTACTGTGTGCTCCTGCTCGCTGATTTGGGGTGGTAGAGGCAGGGGAAGTGGTTATGAGGTAGATAAAGGAGAGCGTCCTTGGGTTTCTTTTTTGCTTGCTGTAGAAAAGAGATCCAGAGGAAGCAGTGCGACCCAGGCCTTGGAGGCACTGAGCATGCGTGGTCACCTTTGCAAGCCTTTGCTGGCTCTGCTTCTTGTCTCATGGGCAGAAAGACAAGGTGGGAACACAGTGAGCAAGGAATTCAGTCTGCAGCCATGGATCAGCTTCAGGGTAGCTGGAAATCTTTCAAACAAAGGGTAGGCAGAAATTCCCATTTATTCGTTCTTTCAAGCCTGGACGTGAAACTAACTTCCCTCTAAAACTGATCCTGAAATAGCAATTGCCCAGATCTGGGAGACATTCCTGGGCCGTTAAGGAAGGGGAGGAGATGGTAAACAGTCGATCAGTCAGGAGTCAGGCTTGGTCTGGATTCCTCTCCTCTGAGCCAGCTTACTGATAGAATTTATGACCCTGGACAGTCCTCAGGAAGCTGTTGTATATTCAGATCATTGACCAAGGGCTCGGTACACATACAGAGTGAGTGGACAAATAGTGAACAGATGTTTCTTCTGGAGTGTTCACCTCAGCAGTTGAACTAGTGGGAGCCAACACCCTGGGACTCTGTGGGTGTTTCCCCACCAGCCAGGCCTTATGCTTTAAGTTAAATGCATACCAAGTGGGTGCAGAAATGTGGCTAACACACTCTCCGGTTGTTGTTGTGGTTGGACACAAACACAGCAGGTACAAGCAACCAACTGCAGGTCATAACCATAGTGGGCTGGAAATCAACTTTGTAGGTTAGAACCAATGCAAAAATAAATAAGTGATAATAATAATAATACTCCTCTCAGTGTTAGTGGGCATATTTGGCAAAGCTTTAGTTTCCATGATAAGTATGTGAATGTATCATATATGTGTGTTTGCTTCCTGTATCCTGATGTGAAAATATTTTTTTAGGTGCAAGTTTGCAAGCCATTGTAATATAGTTACACTGAAAAGAGTAGGTAAACCTGAAGCTCATTTTTACTAGACATTTCCATTTAAATTCCTTTGGTTATAGTAAACAACAGAGTGAGTCCAGCTAGCTGAAGCAGAAGAGGAATTAATTAGAAAGAAATGGGGCAGCTCACAAGATGTAAAGGAAAACTTAACAAAAATTCCTAACCAAGGGATTCCTGAGGCTGGGGTGGGTAGTTATTGAGATTCCTGCTTCTAGGCAAATGACTCCAGTTGTGCCTAGGTCTTCCTGCCATTCTGCCCTAGGCGCCGGGGACAGGATGGTGTTGTTCTCCCCAGCAATGGGGCTCCTTCCCCCACATATGTTCTTTTCAGGGGAAAGGAATGGAAGCTATGTGGTCAAAGAACACATGGCTGTGACCTTAGACTTAGTCATGGTGATATCTCTCTTTCTCTTCCTCTCCCTCCCTCATCCTTTCCTTCCATCGTTTTTAATCAAAGGAATATATGTGTATGAGTTTTAAAAAGATTTAATAGGGACCAGAACTGTGGCACAGTGAGTTAAGCCACTGTCTACAATACTAGCATTCCTGTCTGCACCCATTTGAGACTCAGCTGCTCCACTTCTGATCAAGCTTCCTGCTAATGCACCTGGGAATCAGTGGAGTGCTTGGGTCCTTGCTACCCACTTGGGACCCTACATGGAGTTCCTGGCTTCTTGCTTCAGCCTGATCTGACCTTGGCCATTGTGGCCATCTGGAGAGTGAATTAGCATGTAGAAGATCAATCTCTCTCTGCCTTTCCCTCTGTCTATCACTCTGCCTTTCTAACAAAAGCTTAAAAGAAATCTGATCGTAACAGAAATTCAACTGCTTTAGCTCTTTGTATGATGTTCACCTGCATGTTTCTAAGTCATATTGTGATCTTTCTTGATTTATTAGTTTTGACATCTGTTGGCTTCTCGCTGTACACACTCAAGGAAGAGTTGTACTCCTGCTCCCACAGGCTCCTGGCCCATCCTCCCAATGTAGTTATACTATAGTTTTTGGCTGAAGTATGATTTCTGCTAATAGCATTGTAAATAAGGGCCTGGCTCTGGGGTGGAGTGAAGTTTGGGGCTCTGATGTTTGCTCTGTCCAAGATCCCTTTGGTAAATTACCTCATCTCTTCATTCTCAGTTTCCTCATCTGTAAAAACACTGATAATCATCAGACCCTTCCCAGAGGTAGTGGTGAGGATTAAAGAAGGCAATATGTGTGAGATGTTAAGCGCAGTGCCTAGCACAATGGACGTGCCTGTCTTCCCTTTGCTGTAGGCTTAGGCTGGACTTTAACCTCCTCTGAGACCCTGGTCAAGGGGTAGAGGAAGAGGCTGGAAACTCCCTGGTCCAAACGTTTGCTCCTTTGCTCCTTTTCATTGTATTGACATCTGTTTGTTCTCATTTGTTCCTTCCTCCCCACCTACTTTTTTTTTTTTAATGATTCGTGTCCGTCTAATGGTAGAAGGTCCTATGGATGAGGGAAAATGTATGGTAGACTCAGGATGTAGACCTGAGTGACCTTTGGTAGTCCTAACTCTGCCAGAGTAGATGGTGGTCAGGTTTATCTTTTGGCATCCGTTTCTGGTCCCTTTCCTTTTATTTCTTTTTCTGACCTCGTGGCCAAGGCAGTGGCCTCTGTGGCTCTGGGCTCTATGGAAACTAATCTGACATATTTACACTTTCTTAGGATGTTGGCTCTTTATTGTTTTCATCCTCTCTGATTGTTGTTATTTTTGTTATCTTGATCAGAAAGATTCCTTCGGTACTTCTGTGGCTTGGACATTTTTCATCAGCTGAACCTTTTTTCTGCAGAATAGGTGGTGTCAGTCTGAAGGTCTTTCCTGAATCCTGTGGTTGGTTTGTTTTAGCCAGAATTGTGAGTTATAAAAATCTTACCAGAGGGGAATCCCAGACTATGCAGAATTGTATGATAAATTTCAAACATTAAAAAAAAAATAGGGTCCAGCGCGATAACATAATGGTTAGGGTCCTCATCTTGAATGCGCCAGGATCCCATATGGGCACAGGTTCTAATCCCAGCAACCCCACTTCCCATCCAGCTCTCTGCTTGTTACCTGGGAAAGCAGTTGAGGATGGCCCGGAGCTTTGGGACCCTGCACCAGTGTCAGAGACCCGGAAAGAAGTTCCTGAATCCTGGCTTTGGATTGGCACAGCGCCAGCCGTTGCGGGAACTTGGGGAGTGAATCATCGGATGGAAGATCTTCCTCTCTGTCTCTCCTCCTCTCTGTACATCTGCCTTTCCAATAAAATAAATAAATCTTTAAAAAAATAAATAAAGGTTTACCAGAAACTTTATACATATATATTTTTAGAGGTGTATTCCTTTATTTGAAAGGCAGGGAGAGAGCAACATGAACTGACCTTCCATCAGCTAGTTCATTTCCCAATGGGCTTAGCAGTGAGGGGAATTAGGCCGGGCCAAAGCAAAGAACCTGGAATTCCATCTAGATTTTCCACACAGATGCTAGGGACCAAGCATTTGGGCCATCTTCTACTGCTTTCTTCAGGTGCATTAGCAGGGAGCTGGATCAGAAGTAGAACATCTGGGTCTGACACAGTGGCCTTGCGGCTCAAGTCCTTGCCTTGAATGTACCGGGATCCCATATGGGCA